CCCCAAAACCCCAAAACCCCAAAACCCCAAAACCCCAAATTAAATTTCTCAGAATGAAATTTAAATAAAATGGGAAACTGTTCAGGAAAGAATAATAGAGCAGGCAAGAAATATACAAGGAGAAAATCAAAAGGTGCTAGTTTAAATGAAAGTAGAAAGCACGAGTTAAATGATTTTGATCAGCAGTTATATAGCAACAACAAATATGAGATCGAAAGTGGAGTTATCGACCCAGATACTCTCACTAGTCATCTGGCATACACCCCCAACACCACAGACTATATGAATTATATTGCACCATTTGATGATTCAAGCAAGTTCATGCTAGCTGTGAATAAAGAAGTTAAGATTCTAGACTCTGTTGAAGGAAACGTATTAGAAACATTAGCGCATCCCAAACAAGTGACTCAATGATTCTCTTTCAAAGATGACGAAGGAATCATTACGACATGTAGAGATGGAATTGTTAGGATGTGGAGGATTGACCAAGATTGTAAAAATTCCTTTGTAACATTTAGCCCAACTACACCAAGATGGTGACTCGTGATTCGAACTCAAAGGACATAAGATATCATGCACTACAGGCTGAATTTCTCTTGGTGAGACTGTTTTAGCCACTGGAGCAAGAGATTATGAAACAATCCTCTGGGATCTTGAAGATGGAAAGAAGACTCAGAGTAAAAGAATTGATAGGAATATGATCACTGATATGAAGTGGCTTCCAAGTGATAACAACACCTTCATTCAGTGTTCTGAAGATCTTAGACTAAGATTTTTTGATATTAGGGAGGGATTAGATGTTGCTCAAGAAACAGTTGTTGGGACTAACTTTGCTGGAAGTTGAGATATTGATGAATCGGGAAAATATATTGTAACTGGCCACAAAGGTTTTAATAATTCAGGATGATATGTTAAATTATGGGATGTCAGATCATTCTCTGATACTACAGTCGAGCCTGTAATGGAGTTTGAACACTCATTTTCTGTAGTATCTGTTCGGTTTCTTTATACACCAACAAGAAAGAAAGACACACTATCAATTATTTCAGCATCAGCTGACAAAACAATAAGAATTACTGACTTAGAAGGAAACCAGAAGTCGATTACAGACAGTCCAGAGAGCTTCACAGCTATGTGACCTCTAAGAAATGCTGAGAATTGTACTAGAACCAGTCAACAAGATACTGATTGACTTGTAGCGACAGGAAATACAAAGCCTCAGCTGACTCTTTTCTCAATTGATGATGATACATTTAGCATAGTTCCCAAGCTACAAACGAAGTAAAATATTCAACTCTAAATTATAATATTGGGGTTTTGGGGTTTTGGGGTTTTGGGGTTTTGGGGTTTTGGGG